TGACAATCAATAACATGAGTCGTGATTACATTGACCTTCGTTGCTTAATCGCGTTATGATTTGGGACTCTTTGCAACATACTTGTTGATCTTTGAAAACATAGCATCATGATCGATTTGACTCTTCTATATGTCCTCACTAAGAAATTTTTATTTACGGTACTATGTAGCATTTTGTACCCTCGAAGTCGGCCACTAATTCATGTCGATCTCGACCACACTATCATTCGACTATGGTTTTCAATATTTTATTGCACATAGGAACTATTTTTGATAGTTGACGAATATTTGGTGAGTATGTTCCATTTGTATGACACTTAACCATGCTTAACCTATTTTTACATGCTCGGTCGCGCCAAGTTTACATGACTCAACATCTTCTGGCACTTTTAGAGGGTGTTTTGGGGGGGGGGGGGTTTAAAATTAGATTTTTTAGTAGATTGTGATAGAAAATTTTAAAATGTGTGGTTAATATTGATTGTTTGACCTTGACGTAGATTAAATTCAGATTTTGATCCGTACCAAACGAGCTCTTAATTTTAGCTAGTACAATTTCATATACAATAACAACTAGAATGAGATCTATTATACACAGTAGTTATACAATATGTGGTGTGATTTTATTACGTACACAGTATGAGAAATGACAAAGTAGACTCGACCATGTGCTAAGTCATATCGAACCTACACGACTCAATACTTTAGCGTGATTAATAATTAAACAATCAAGTTGAATACAAAAATATCCATTTATTAAGAAACCAACTAACCAACCCCTTCTCTAGAATTGTATTATATGGAGTATTTTTTAAAGCTTTCTTGTCCATTTTTCTTGCTCCTGTAATGCTGATTAATTTAATTAAACCGAGATTATTTCACAATTAATTGGCATTCGTGGAATCTGATGATTATCTACCCCCACGTGGACACGATACTCGATGCGTAATTACAAATAATAAAATATATTTTATCCACTCCGATATTTAATTACACAATATATTGATTCCAAATCTAGTCTTTGACGATAAGTTCGTCACTGATCTTTAAAAAGAAGTAAATTGATATCCAATCTTTCACTATAGTTATAAAATTGTCACATGTTTAACTCAATGAGTAAATTACCTCTGCTTCTCAACTTGAACTAGTACTCAATGACTTTTTTTTGAAAGGGCGACTTTTATTTATTGAACTTATTATGCAACCATAATAAAAGATTGGTGACTAATTTGTTACTTTTAAAGATCGAGGACCAATTTACTACTAGAACAATACATTTGAAACTGATGGTGCAACTTTTCCTCATTCATAAATTGCTGATAGTTTGAGTATATTATTATAGTTTAAAATAAAAGTAAATCTACTTAAAATAAAGCACTCGTGGCACAATTTTAGGGATTAGGCTAATCACAGTTAATTTATAATATAATTATGATGGATTCGAGAAGTAGCAAGTTGATTCTCCATCTTGACTATATTATTCTTAAAACATAAACTAAGGTATTAATGTTAAAAAAGGACAAAACAATAGTGGAAATCAACAAAATATAATTATTAATAACATATTGTGTAAGTGATGATATCATATCCTATATAAAATAAACAACTCAAATTATTAACTTTGATCTCAAGAAAATCATTGTACAACTTGGCTCGACTTAAGCTAAGTCCCTATTTGAGCTCCATTTGTAAAAAAATCATTTTTTTTCCCTAGAACTCATTTTCAGCTTTACATTTTCTCGAAAAATAATTTTATACGTAAATTTAAAAAAATCTCATACTTTTTAACTATACGTTTTTCAAAAAATACTATTACAAAATCTATTTATCGAGCTCAAACAGGGACTAAATATTCTAGTGAGTTAATCAGTTGAAGAGTTCTTCAATTGATCAGAGTCAAATCCGAGAACAAATTGGTTTAATCCACATGCCCAATGACTCGAGTAGAATTTAACTCGATTTTAAAAGCCAATTTGTGGAGATTTGTCATTATATGCTTATAAAGCCACGAAACAAACGTCATGTGAGCAATGGAAAACTATTGTGCAAAGTTCTAAAAGACGAAGGCGTGACAAAATAAAAATATCAAACTTTAAGTTTTATGAGTCTGAGTGAATTGCAGGTGTTTTTATTTTAATTATTTTAATATTATTTTAATTCTTCTAACACTGTTAATCAGCGTTCTAAAAGGCGTCGTCTAAGCACAATGCGTAGCGAAAATACCAAGTCAAGTGGTTTGATACCTTATTTAGCAGCAACGGGTTGTCATTGATCGCTAATGCGTGCCAAAGCATGATTATGTGCGCCTAGATGCGCATTATTATCTTTTTTAATTTTTTTTTTACAATCTTTTAAGTTAAGATTTAAAAACTGATTTCTTCACTTTGTTTGTCTTAAATTCAAAACAACTTCTTGAAGCTTTGAACAGAAGAAAACTCTCAAAAATTCTATTTATTTACTATTTAGTATTTACATATAAAACTTATCTTTTTGTTGGAAACTTAAAAAAAAAAATGTATAAAATTCATATAAATCTGTTTTAGATATTTAATAGGAATTATTTGTAATTATTAAATGATTTTTTGATTGATTAAAAATTAAATTAATGTTAAAATGAGAAAACATCTTTTTTATATTTTTTTACGCTTATGCCTCACCTATCTCATAGCTTGACCTTCAAGCATCGTCACAAATTACGCCTTTTAGAACACTGTTGTTAATATGACACGCAGAAGAGCATTCAAGAGAACCTAACTGCACTGCATTGTGATGGGGCGGGGATGGTGTGGGGTGGAGTTAGCCCGGGGAGTGTATAACAACCACAATGGGCATAAACAAAATGACTTATAATCGAATACCTAAGAATATTATTGAAGTTTCATATCTTGTTTTCAATGTTAACAATGGCCAGTAGAATCCCCCTCCAGTAAAAATGCCTCCCTACCCTAGGATTACAGAATCGATGATTGAGCAAATTCTCCGTTTTTCACTGTACAACTTTCCTCGGGGACTCACTGATGCACGTGTTTTCCGGGGACTTTAATGGCGACTAATATAACCATCACTTAGAATTCCCCGAATTCTAGACATATAATAAAATCGAAAAGAAAATGATGAAAAGAACGAGAGCAGCAGTTCATCTAGTTGAATGATCAGCGTCATATAAATGCTTTTAGGACTTCTTCTCCAAAGTAGCTATTTCCTTTTCTTGCTGTTCTTTTGCATACCTTTGTGCAGTTGCATTCACAATCTTGACAAAGAAGTTCATTAGCATGAACCACACCACAGTATTCCAAATGAAAGCGAGCGAGAAATCCCATTTCTTTGCCTGATGGAGCAAGTAAATTAAGAAAACTTGAGAAGAAGGAAGATGAACAAAATGCTGTACGGGTAAGCAAGAAAAGAGAGTACCTCGACATTTAAAGGAACACGAGGTTTAGTGGCCATGTACTTGTCTTTCATGGATTGAAGCTTGGCAACAATGCTGGGAAGGAAAGAGGCGAAACCAGGTACAAAGCTCAGCACCCAAATTAATTCATTTTCTACCCAATCAAGAAGTTGATTGTTACACACGGAAATGATGAACAGCGTCTGCCAAAAATTATCATTTAATGAGCATCCGTTTCACTAAGGCTTAGTGAAAATGAAACATAATTATCTCTAAGCTCAAGCCAATTCCAACTCGCTAGGACATTAATAAACCTGTATGTGAGTCTTGATGATTGCTTTCCCTATCATTGTTGCCAGAAAGAACTCCCAAAATGGAATTCCGAATTGGCCACACATTATACCTGCAAGATCAAATAAAGGATTTGGAACCTACAAAATATTTCTGTTAGCAAACGGTACAATTGAGGATAAGAATAAGTGCAAAGAAATACTTGCGCCCCCT